GTACATTTGTAAAGCAACGTAGTGAATCAACACCCTGGGGAGCAGATCAGCTCTCCTGGTCCCTCTGCCATCCCTGGCGCAAAGGTGCGGGCACAAACAGACACACGCACGCGTGCGCTGGGGCTCTGCTCTTCAGTGGAACCGAGTCAGCAGTCAACAGATGAAGAGCTGTTGATCTAAAGCTCGACTAACAACCCCTCGGGCCTTGTCTGGGTGACTGCATGGGATTGCAGATGAGGGGCTTGGGCACCCAGGTGCTCCGTGGACTCATTCCAATGAGAATATGGTGCAGGAAGCACTTGAAGTAAAGACTACTTCTCAGTGACATTCAACTCCTCTCTGTTTCTCTCTATCAGGCATGCATCTGCCATGCCCTGCAAAGCTATGACATTCAAAAGTGGAAGAGTCAGGCGGAAATAAAAACACTTCACTTTAGCAGCTAACCCACGGGCTCCTTAATTGGAAATAAATCTGTGACAACCGACAGATACTTCTTTCAGACAGTTGTGGAGAAAGGCTTGACTTGTCCTAGTAAATCAGACACAGGCTTCATTATTTTTAGTCTTGTTTAAAAAAAGTTGCCATAGCAACAACACCATCATCCAGGGCAAATGCTATCTCTTTAAGTCAATAACACGAGGGGCCGGCCCACAAATGCCAAGCGCTTTCAGAGGAAAAAATGACTTTCCAATAAATGAGTTTCTTCTAAGTCTTCACCATTCATCTTCATTTGTAAGCTCAGAAAGCTTGCCCCCTGTAAATAAGAGATATTAAAAGCAATATACAACTTTGTAAGAGCCAAAGCTGACCTTTCTTGTACTTCTCTGCAGAAAATCATTAATTCTATTAGTTCTGTGAAACATGTAGTTTTATTTGTGGCTTTTCAATTCATCCACCGAAGGCATAATGATAATTAATTTGACCCTGGGGCAGAGCACTGTGTATTCTGAGGGGCCAGATGGGAAAGTCATTTGGGAGCAGGCACATACACGTTTTCTAGACTCCCAAGACACTGTGTTCAGGGAAGCAGCAAACAGCTTAGCTGTTCCAGGCCTTCACTTGTACCTGTGGAGCTGGGCGGGTGCTCTGTCAACCCTGGTCGGCTGGATCTGTCCCACTCTATGTGGGGCCAGAACTGAAATTATTTGCGAATATTCATGAGGATTTATTAATGGGATTTTGCAACTGTGGTAAATTTGTATCTCCCAGAATGTGAATTTTGGACCTTAAAAATTACTTCAACCTTCTTTTCCTCTCACTGAAAAGCATGTTAATTGTCAGTCCATAGCTCCACAGGGTGGCTGGGGAAGTAAGTTGGGCTCCTCGATGGCATTATTTTAGAATTCTGCTAAGGCCCCACAGTCCCCAAAGGCTTTGCTTCCTCTCTTCTCAGACTCACATTTTTCTTTCCCTCACATCTAACACCTTTGAAGTTGGACGTGCTCATAACTGCTGCCATCATACAATTTTTATTTATTTTTTTACTGGCAGCTTATTTTTTTCTTTCTCTCTTTTTTTTTTTTTTGGTACCAGGGATCGAACTCAGGACCTTGTGCTTGCAAGGCAGGCAGCGGCACCAGTGAGCTACATCCCCAGCCCTGGCAGCTTCTTATTTCTTAGTGGTACCACAATGATGAGTCTCCTGGGAAGGCGAGGGCAGCCATAGAGAGTCCCTGTGCACCACGTACCGAGCTCTGTGATGACCCGTGGGTAGACATTGTATTACTACGTGTCCCTTTGACTCCTAAGGAGGGCGCATTTTCAGTGTGTGGGGACATGAGGCTGAGCAGTTTATAAGTCTTGTCCTTGATCACAAGTTAGCAATTGTTAGAGTCAAGGTTTGAACAAAATTTTTACAAAACTTTATGGTAATGAAATAACGCCATCGGATTCTTCGTCTAATTTACCCTCAGCTGTTTGCTTTAAAATAGAGTTTGCAAATCCTTGGATTTTGGAGCTGAGCTGGGGAAGGATCTCATGAATCCTGCGGTCTAACCCTCCTGTGCTACAGGTGAGGAAACTGAGGCTGAGAAAAGCTACTTGCCCAAGGGTAGGAAGTTGTACCACTGAGAACCAGCAGGGCTGAGCCAGGGGAGAGCATTTCCAGGCATGCAGTGCACACCCAGGCCTCCTTCCTGGGTTGTTACGAGGCGAACCAAACCCATCTGCCATGCCATGGGACCAAGGCTTTAGAAATAGGTAGGGTGCAAAGTGACAGCCTCCACTCCTCCCACTGTAAAGAAGGATAAATGATAATTGATTTATAGAATTGTCAGGAAGTTTAGAGTTGACTCCTGGTGCCCAAAGCAGAGGAGAGGCCCTGTAACTGGCAACGGCCATTCTTGTATAGAGAGCAACATGGCCCTTGGAGCTCAGGAAAGAAAGGTGCTGTGGGCCTCTCTTTGTTGTGTGCCATTGTTTTGTGATTCTGCAGACACAAGGATCTATGTGTTAGGCCCAAAAGGCTTGAACAGACCTCTTCAGAAACAGCTCTCAGCTTGTGGGCTCATGGTGGCCTGGCAAGTTAGGATGATCTTGGCAGGTAGCAGTCTGTCCCACGGTGCCCAGCTCTGATTATGCTACTTATAGGCTGAGGGACTAAGGAAAGCCCAGTCCTGTTGTCCATAAGTCACATGTGATCTGATTCTAGGGACAGGGAGTTGTACCGGATGAGCACTGTTACAGGTTTTGAGAACTCAAACCTTTGATGAGTAGTGTATTTGCTTAAAGGATACCTTTCTTTGCCGAAAATGAAGATGTTTAAACTTCTTTATTTAGTTATGTTAGTTATTGAGCATGCATCTTAACTGTCTCTGGCTCTGTGATGATTTGTTGTGATATGTAAATTCCTAAGGGGATAGATGTTGTCTGCTTCATTTACTTTGTAGAGCACTCAGAAGAATGCCTTCACCAAGTAGGGTTTTTAATCCATTTGCGTGCTGTTATTGCAGACTGAAATATAAACTAAGTCATGTGCTCATAAAAATGACTATTTTGTTCTTATTTTAACCTTTTAAGATTAAAAAAAAATCAAACCATGATTCCATTAGAACAGCACTGAATGTCCTCCTCTACAGGACAAATGCATAAATATTGGTTTATTTTAATTTAAAAATATTAATGTCAATTGATTTTCTAGAGTGAAAATCTGGCCAGTGTAGAAAGTGTGGAAAATGTTGAAAATTATACAGAATAAATGAAAAGTCACCTTTAATTCCTGTGATTAATTTTAAGATGTTATTAATATTGTCTACTGCTTAAGTAACTGTAAGACTCTCATCTTGATCTTCATGTTTCTATTAGTGATCCCATGTTCTTTCCAGTAAGTATTGTTTTGTTGTTTTTTTGATGTATTCAAACATGTGAGTTCAAGGAAAGAGTTTACTGTAAGCTGCTAGTGACTTGCTCCTATTTCAAAGGAAACTGTGGTTACTATGAAGGAAAACTTGATCCATCTTGCCCCAGTGCATTTATTCTCTCAAAACTGGGGGAACCACTTTCGCTGATTTCACTGGGATTATGTTACCCACCAAGGCAATATTCTGTTTCAGTAGGTGATGTTAAGAAACAAAACAACACCCTTTATTGGTTTTGGAGAATAGAGCCTGGCATTATATTCCACAGCTTTGATGTGCTTAGTTGTTCCTGTAAGGATCTGCCTCTCTCTGGCTTTGATTGACAAGACCTTTCCTATATATTTGGGCAACCAACCAGCCCAGCAACAGAAGGTAGAGACGTTTACCCAGAGCAGACTTCTACCACTCACTGTGACACTTGAGTGTAAGCCTCAAGTAAGCTCCCAGAGAAGAGTTGGGCCCATCAAGATCGGGTAAGTGCCTCTCTGCTTTGTAACTTTGTTCCTCCTGTGGGGTAGTCCAAGAACTTCTATGGTGACATCTACGGTGACAGGGCAGCATCAGGAACTATGACAGCAGATCAAAAAGGCTGCCTGCCTTGAGTGACAATGGCTTGGGGCGTTCACCAAATGTAGTGCCCGCCCTTACTTAGAGATCCAAGAGTGTTCAGGAAATGACCAAGACCCAGTGACAACAGCTGGGAATTATGTCTTTAAGACTTTTGAGGCTTCGCTTTATTTTGAATTTAAATTGAATCACAACTGGATGGTTAAGACAGTGGAAGTGTAGAGCAGAAGTAGTTTGTAGTAAATAGGACACATCTTTTATGAGTGGTCATGTCTATGGGTCCATTTTTTTTTTTTTTGGTGGGTTGGGTTAGAAACAACACATGTAGACCACGGCATTATTAATATGTATCTACCTTCCCCATTCATTTCTCAGCCATGACACTGAAACTATAATTTTGATCAAAGCGTGAAGCCTGGCACCAAAATACCCTGAACCGGAATAAAAATAATTTTTGTGCACTCATGTATTTTCTTAGGGTACCCATGACTTTTGGTATTATTTATATTTTGTGTTAATTTTGAAGAGAACATTGGAATGCATTTCTTTTTTGGCATAGAAGGGCTCACTGTTTTAGTTTTTCTCTCTAATTCTCTCTAAATATATTTCTACTTGGGTCTATTAATTTTACAGAATATTGGGGTTCGGTGTGATATTTAGTTTAGTTTTTCTCTTATTCTTTCTAACTAGTTTTCTACTTGTGTCTATTAATTTTACAGAATATTGGGGTTCGGTGTGATATTTCCATACGTGCATATATTTTGATCACGTCCGTCTCTAGTTCAATTTCTTTACCATACCAGTTAACTCCAGCAGTGGAGTTGCACAAAGGAAAAATCCCAAGAATGCACCTCGAGGGTTGGGGATGGAGAAAGATCTATGGAATCTTTACTGGAGCCTGTTATGGAAGGCCTCGGGTCCCTGTGCTGGAGTTTAATGGGTATTTACATTTCCTGGCTCACTTTTCCTGAGATACCAAGAGTCAGGCCCCTTTGCTAGCAACATACACATCTTGGCTCCCCCACTGGAGGCAGTAGGGTTTCAACTCTGTCTCCTTTCCCTCCGCGGAGGAACATAATGAAGCTGCCATACCTCCTGGGTACCGTGGCCCTGCTCTGTGTGTGTGGCTGTGGTTCTGTCCTTGGCACCTCCAGGGGTGACCTGCGTACCTTTGTGGGCTGTGCAGCGAGGGAGTTCACCTTCCTGGCCAAGAAGCCTGGCTGCAGGGGCCTTTGGATCACCGCAGATGCCTGCTGGCGCTGCATTGAGACCTGGGAGGTAAGTTGCAGAGCCTCCAGGACCAGCCACTTGGGCCTGGTTCTTAAGCATTAACTGTTTCAGTGATGAGAAATTGAACTGCCCTTTCCTGTGGATTAAAAAAGCAATAGCACAATTCAGCAGCTTGCAAAAGTGATGTTAAAAAAACATCATGTCGCCTCTCTAAGAAAGCACTGCTGTGATTAGTAACTTGGTTGATATGGTGTCTGTGTATTTCGCACTATCTTTGGGAGGTCAGAATGTGGTCTATTCTACCCATTTCATAGAGCACAAGGAGGATCCAAAGGTGAGTGACTGTAAAGTCACAGAGCATTGTATAAAGTTGGGAAGAAATTCTTGGCTGTAGCCTCTGAGCTGCTCTTATATCCCTTCCATTTCCAGCTGTCCTTAGCGTAGCCATCTCTCCAAGCCTGTCCCCAGTGCCCCTCCTTCCTTCAGCCTTGGCGGGCTCCTTGGTAATTCACTGGCTCGATGGTTCCATTTGTTTTAATGTCCTCCACTCACACATGTCTTGAATTTTTTTGTGGGTTGAGGTTCATTCTTGTGACTTTCCCAGCATTTGTCAAAGTGGTGTCACAGGTGCACAAGGCATTCGGTACACACCTGTTGAGCTGCCTGGGATTCACCTCTACCTGAAGCTGTCTGTTCTCTAGTCTGCTGAAAACCAGCTTCGGAGCACTGAGCCATTAGGGAAAGAGCGTTTGCTTCAGATACTGAGAGAGCAACCTGCTGTTGCTTAGATAAAATTGTGACCTTCTGAATGGAATTGAATTTTGGTGACGAAACAGCCAAATTAAATGAAAGTACTCCAGGAAGTTAGCTTTCTTTTGTTTTATTATCACTTTGTGCCATTCAGGGGTCTGAACCTAAATAGCCAAATGAAAATTCAGTTTTGCTCAGTGCCCGCCCACTGACATCAGATGAACTCAGGGAACCTTCTCATACGCAGGGCCTGGCCCAGCAGTGCCGTCTGCTCTGTCTTGGATCCGGGCTAGAGGGAATGCTTTGTGGGCCGCATTCTCAGACTTCGGTTTCTCCCTCACTCAGCTTCCCCTCTCTTCTTCTATATGTTGGTCGGCGTCTCTAACAGGACCCTGGTCACCCGCAGGAGGCCAAGGACCGAGGTATCACTGGAGAAATGGAAGGCACCAAACCCATGAAAGAACTGATTTGCCTCAATTTTAGCTTTCTGAATTCAGCTTCTGTTTGTGTCTTTACTATGTTAGGGAAAGGGAAATTATCTGGATAAAGAATACGAGAATGAGAAAAATGAGATTCATTTTTCCAGCAACCAGAAAGTTTCTGAGCTGAGGAAGGCTGTTTTTGTGTTTTGGTGGCCTACCTGGAAAATAAGGGTGTCTGAAAACAAGGGTGCTCATGACGACAAAGGGCCTGGGATTCCTTTAAAAGCATAAATCTGTTCCAAATATTGTTCTCGGAAGTCAGTTACCCTCAAGTATAAATTTAACGGGGCGTCTGGTCTGCCAGCGTTCTCAGGGTACCAAGGGTGAGAGAACGCGGAGTAAGTGGAGGAAGGGTGGACAGAATCGACAAATTCAGCTCTGCTGAGCACAAATGCTTCATGGTCCCTCTGGGGGCAAAGGGTGCTATTTTCACAGCATTTATGCAAGGACTACATCTTGGTTCTCTGTCTATCTCTCTATCTCTCTATCATCTACACTCTATTTATCTGTCTATCTGCCTACCTTTTTGCCCCGAGCAAGCGAAGGCACTGTCCTTTGAGAGATTAGTTTTTTATTGTTGCTTCCCAGTACTTGGCCTAGTAAGGCAGTAGATCATGCTGACTGAACACTTACCTTGTGCAAGGCCGAGGGCATTGCATTACCGCCTTCCCTTATGTCCACAGCAGTTCAGTGAGGTCAGTGTTTGGCTTTATAGTTGAAGAAACTGGGGCATTGATGAGTGAAGTTTTCCAGGTCTCTGGCAGGTGTACAAACTAAACAGGTCTGACTGCAGGGCTCCGGATGTTTAACGACTACCTTGTGCTGGTTTCTCCTCGATCTGTGTGCTTGGTTTATCAAAATGATCTTAGAATTCAGGGTTTATAAGGTAAAGGATGTAAAGTGAATCCTTCATTTATCAAAACAACATACAGAGCATACAGGAAGCTGCCTGGCTGTATTTTCTTCTGTTGATTTGTCAGATGCTTCTTGAGAACCTCATGGTTTCCCCTCTGCGTAGGATAGCCCAGTAGGGACCAAATGGGCAAAAACCCTTATCGTACTGTGCTTTCTCTCTAGAGCTGGAGAAACATCATAAAGATAAAATAAGTAAGATGTCATATGACGTAGAGAAAAAAACAAAGCAGGAAACAGAAGGAAGCTTTAGGGTGTGGAGGTGGGACATTATAATTTTAAATAGGATGTCATGAAATGCTTCCCTTGAGAGGGTGACCTTTGAACAAAAACCCAAGTTTGGTTGGAGCAGTGAGTCATAGGAGGGAAGAGTGCTCCAGGCAGGGGACAGCGAGCAAGGTAATTTGAGGAAGGACAGAAATCACAGTGGCTGCAGACGGGCGAGGAAGTCACAAGGTGGGAATGGTCACAGACACAGCAGAAGAAGAGAATGAGGAGCTGCGAATCTTCAGAGTGTTGGAAGCCTGATGTAGGGCCTGAGGGACATCGTACAGTCTTTGACTCTCTCTGAACGAGATGGGAAATCCCTGGGCTTTGAGCAAAGGGAGGACAGAATCTGACTAGTTTTTAAAGGGTCACTTAGAGCTGCTGTGTTGCAAACTGACGGGCGGCTGATGTTGGGAAAGGAGAGACCGTTTAGAAGGCAAATGACCAAGGTGATCCATTTGCTACGCGCTTATCAAGTGCTACCCGTGAGCTGAGCAGCGGATCCCTCTAGGAGCTCCAGGTACGGCGATGACTAAAATCAGCTTTGCGCTTTCAGGTTCTACACTTGATCTCAGCCGAAAGGCCGAGAAGCGATAGCTTCCTGCTTTCAGGAGTTTGCTTTCTACTGGGAGGGGACAGAGCATGAAGTGAGCAAACAAAAACCAAGTTAATTTCCTATAGGATTAGTGATGCCAAGAAAAGGATGCTGCTGATATGTTCTAATGGCTCCCTGTCTTCTCCCTGGGGGGACAGAAACCCATTCTGGAGCCCCCCTACATTGAAGCACATCATCGAGTCTGTACCTACAAGGAGACCAAGCAGGTGACCATCAGGCTGCCTCACTGTGTCCCTGGAGTCGACCCCTTCTACACCTACCCCGTGGCTCTCCGCTGCAACTGCGGGGCCTGCTCCACAGCCAGAACGGAGTGTGAGACCATCTGAACCGCCACAGGCAGTTGGCAGCCTTGAGTTTAGCAGACTTGCTAAAGGGCAGCCGGAGCAGTGATACCGCCTCGGTGGAAGGCTGCTTGTTCCCACGGTGCCTGTGGAGGAGGTCAGCTGTCTCCCTCATGTCCAGCTTAGGGACAAGGCCCGGAGGCAGCACACTTCTGCTAAAAATGCAAAACAACTTTTGAGCTTTCACCAAAATAGTTTCTTGCTCATTCATTTACATTAATTTTCCTTTGCCTTGAGCCTTGGGCCATGATTTGTATATTGCAGCCCCTCCCACCTCTCAATAAGGATTGATAAATGTCCCGATTTCAAATGCATTGGGTCTGTGTAGGAAATGGGGCTGGAAAAATTTCACATTCTAGTTAGCCACTGATCTCCACCTAGATTTATGATTGAAGGGCTACAAATGACCAAAACCAACCACCAGTGTTCCTTCCCTGAAGGGAAATCCAACTGCAAGTTTCCTTAGAGAAAATTCTCCATTTGTTTTTTAACTGAGCAGTTATCTTCACAAGAAATAGAGACTGCTCAGGCTGATAAAGAGAAGGGAATTGATAAAGAGACTATCTCAAAGTGAAAGGTGTTTGGATTTGACTAATTCATTCCCAGGAAAAATTCCTTAAATTCCCATAAGATCTTTAATACAGAGGCTATTTTGTGATAAAACAAATGAACAAGCTCGAAAAAAAAGAAAAAAAAGAAACCAAAAGCTGTCATTTTGGCTTAAAAACTTCTGAAACAAAAATCACGTTTTTTGGAGTGAGCAAATGGTCAATTTCAAATACTCTACTCTATTTAGCATATTTAAAATTTAAATTGTAATCTCAGAAATTTAACATACCTGGAGTTGTAGAACCGCAGTGCTGCCTCTGAGGGAAAAGTCTGACTCTCTGGCTCATGCCCCGTCTTTCCTACATCTTCAGCAGCCGATTCTGTGACTTAAAATAAAACCCCCCAAACCCTCTAGTTTTATGCAAATGTCTTTAATTTTGGTATTTTGGAGTTAGATGTAACCTTGTTCATTTTTCATAATATGCCAAGGAAACCTATATTAATGCCAATAAAGCATGTTCTCTGTCTTTTGAATTCATGCAGATTTTCAGAGATCTTTTTAGTCTTTAATACATTTGGTGTAACATTAGGAAGAACACTAAAAATGACCTATGAGGCTATTTTTACTTAAGCATTAATGTGGCAAGGAGACATGTTTAGTAAGGGACATAGATGCCTTTGGGTAGCATAAGCCCCAGAGGTCCTGTGGTCTGCATCCCCTGACACATCACAGCTGGAACAGGAGACCTCCTTGAAGAAGGAGTCAGTGGATGCCCCCTAGAAAACGGTGGAGGAAATTTTATCTTTATTAAATTTATTGGTACATTTTAGTTGTACAGTACAGTTACATTCATCATTGGGATCTTGTACCTTTACATGACAGGTCTTGGTTCTTGTTTTTCCCCATTCCCCAGCCCTCCCTTCAGCCCCTCCACCCTTCCCTGTTTACAAAGACATTGTTTCCATTTTTTTCCTTTTCACATATTTTTTTTTCTTTTTCCTTTTTACCTTTCCCCTACCCCTCCCACTTCCTCTACTCTTTTAGACTTTACTTCCTATGACACAATATCAATTATACATTTTGATCCTTATTTACACTTTTACTTTTTCAAACCAGAGAAAATATTCAGTATTTACACATGTGTGACTTATTAATTTCACTTAAAATTATCTCCTCAATGTGCATCCATTTAGCTACAAATGTCTCTAATTTCTCATTCTTTATGGCTGGGTAGTACTCCATTTTATTAAAAAAACACATCTTTATCCAGTTTCCATTTGATGGGCAATTGAGCTGTTTCCAAGTTTTAGCTATTACAAGCATGCTGCTGTAAACATGGGTGAGCATATATTGCTGTGGTATCATTCTTTTAATTCTTTTGGGAAGATACCCAGCAGAGGGGTGGCTGGGTCAAAGGGGACCTCTAATCCTAGTTGTTTGAGGTTTCTCCATTTTGATTTCCATGGTGGTTGCACCAGTCTGTACTCTCACCAGTGAAGGGTTCCTATTGCCCCACAACCCCACTAGCATTTGTTATTGGTTGATTTCTTGATAGCAGCTGTTCTTACTGGGGTGAGATGGAATCTTAGCGTTTTCATCTGCATCTCTTGAATGAGTGAGTATGTGGTTGATTTTGGATAATGATCCATGTTTAGCTGAAAAAAATGTGTATTCTGATTTTGTGGGGTGGAACACTGTAAACATCTGTTATGTTCATTTGTTCAGGAGTTTGGTTGAGTTCTAGTATTTTGTTGTTTGTTTTCTGTCTAGTTGATCTATCCATTTGTGACAGTGGGTATTGAGGTCTCTCACTACTATTGTATTAGTGCTTGTTTGATTTTTCATGTTCATTAGTATTTTATATAGTTTGGTGCACATATATTTGTGACTGTCATCTCTTCCTCTTGGATTTCTCCCTTTACAAGGATGTAGTGTCCTTCTTCATCTCTCAGTTTTTGGAGGGGTAATGGAGATCTAACTCAGGACCTTACACTTGCAAGGCAGACAGTGGCACCACTGAGCTAAATCGCCGGCCCTTTCTATCAGCATTGGTTTGAAATCCATTTGCTCTGCCAATAGGATAGCTACTCTTCCTTTTGTTCAAGTTCTTGTCACATAGAGTGTTTTCTACCCTTTACCTTTCAGTCTATGAGTTTCTTTTTGAATTGTGTTTCTCATTTGCAGCACATTGTTGGATCTTGCTTCTTGACCCATTTTGCCAGTCTGTTTCTTTTGATTGGTGAATTGAGACCATTAACATGGATGGTTATAACTGATATGTATTGACTTATCCTTGTCATGACTTTTTCTTTTTGTTGGATTCTCCCCTTTGCATTTAATTTCTTGTCATGCCTGCGGGATTCATTCTGCTGAGATTCCTGGGGTTGTGATCCTAATTGTCTTTTCCTAGGATATTATTTAAATATTTTTGGAGTGCTGGTTTGGTATTCATGAAGTTCCTCAGGTGTTCTTTGTCTTGCAAGTATGTTATGTCTTCATCAATTTTGAAAGATACTTTTGATGGGTACATCAATCTGGGTTGGAGGTTGTTTTCATTTAGGGCTTGAAATACATCTCTACAAACTCTTCTTGCCTTGAGGGGTTGTATTGAGAAATCTGCTGTGATTCTGATGGGGTTTGCTTTGTATGTGATTTGGTTTTTTCTGATTGATTGTAGAATTTTGTTCTTCTGTTGTGTTTCTGGAAACTTAATTATTATATGCCTATATATTGATTTTTTTTGTTTTTGATCATGCCTGCTTGGAGTCCTGTATGCCTCATTTATCTGTATGTCAAGTTCTTTCCCTCTGCTTGGGAAGTTTTCTGCAATTACTTCTGTGAACAGTTTTTTTAATGTCATCTACACTGTGCCCTGTTTATTGACTCCAATCAGTCTTAAGTTATTCTTTTTTGCATATCTAACAGCTGCTGGATTGATTTCTCATCATCCCTTACTATTTTTGAGAATTTTTTCTTTTTCTCATCACAAATTGCAATCCTGTCTTCTATATCTGAAATTCTGTCCTTCCATTGCCTCATTCTGCTGTGTAAACTTTCAATGGAGTTTTTAATCTCCTGGAAATCTGTTTGTATCTGTTTTTTGGGTTTCATTTGTTTCTTATGTTGGGATTCCATTATGTTTCTCAGCTCCTCTATTTTTTTATGTGTGTCTTCTCTAGATTTATTAATCATGTCTTGCACCGTGGAAAGTCTCTATTGCTATCTGAAAAATTATTTCTGATTTCATTTTTTCCAGATCCTCTTTCATTGCCAGTTCAGGGAGTCCAGATGGTTGAGTATCAGATTGTTCCATCTTGTTGCCCTCTGGGGTTGCCTTAGGTGATCTGGAAGTCTGGTTTTGAGACTTGTTTATTCATTTCAACAGATGCAGCCTGCTGTACCTTTGTTGAGGTAACTTTTTGCTCACCTAGTGGTCTCCACTCCTCAGCAAGCCACCGAGCAGACTTTTCTCTACTGCTTATCACTGCACCAATTCCTGGGTTCAGAGTGGTGCCCTTCTGGATCCATGTGCTGTCTTGTTGGGTTCTGGCTGGGGCCCGTGCACACTTAGGATGGTATCTAGGTGTGCCTCTGGCTGGGGCCTGCCCTTCTACTTAGCTATTTTCTGGGAGGGCCTTTGACTAAGATCTGTGCACTCCAGTTGCTGGTGTTTGGGAGGGCTTCCTGCTAGGGTCTGCATACATTTATCAGTGGTATTGGGGCAGGCCTCTGGCTGTTGCTTATGTGCCTGTGAAGGTCTTTTCAGGTGGGTCTTTGGCTGGGGCCTGTAGACCCAAGTGGCTGGCATCTTTGGCTGGACCTGCCTGCAGCTGTGCCACTCTGGTCCACACCAGCTTCTCACTGGGATCTCAGGATGTTCCCTTCTTGAAAGCAGAAAGGGAGGCACTTATGGGGCTACCTGTGTCATAGAAAGGTTCTATGATGGCTGTCCTTTTTAGCCAGAGGAAGTTTCATGAAGCTGGGCTTCCTGTACGGGCAGAGGTGATAGGGCTCTGTGATAGCAGAGACCAGTTGTGACGCAGCTGTAAGAGGCAAAGTAGACATAAGCTATAACATGTAGCAGAGCTACACTGGCAACCAGAGGGCTTCAAATTATGTGGTGTGGCTCATTATCTGGGGCATTCCTAGTCCATGGTGTTCATTTTTTTTTTATACAATAGATATACATTATATTTAGAAAAGTCATTAGTAAAAAAGAAGAAAGTATATGTCAGGATTCTTGTTGTGTCCTTCCCTTCTACAACCTCTCTTCTGTTGTGACTCACACAGCATAGGGTCTGAAGCTGGGGAGAGTGGTGGGAGATGAAGAAAAATGAAATCAGTGCTATTCTTGACAGCTGGGACTTGGTGGAACCATAGCTTGTTGGGACCTAATGGCTGAGTGGAGTTTATAATGGAAGGCAAACAGGAAGAG